AAAGAAAATAAAGCAAAACATCATCTTCATCTTCCTCGAGCTGAGTTGCACGGTGACTCTGCAACAAATTTTTCCAAATTCCGACGTGCTCTACATACGCCCGCCTAGCCTTTGCCCTACACCCCCCAGACCGGCATAACTCCACCTAGTCCCGCCTAATCCCGCCTAGGCGTTTGCCTAATATATTTTTGATTTTATGCCCGATTAGAAGCTAATCGCAGCGGCAACCAAACGCCTAGCTCCTAAGCGGCCACCTAGACCGACTTTTAGAACATTGTTTACTAGTGATGGTATGTATGTAACTTTAATTTTTTAGCACATTCCTTATTAAATTGATTTGTAAGATATTGTTGACTATAAAAATTACAAAACCTACGTGGCGCGCAGGCCGAGTAACTAATGAGCTAACTACGTCCTTCGGTTGAATGCGGGGCGTGCCAACTCGTCGGCCGAGCTCGGCCGAGGAGTAAAATTTGATGTTGTCGCGTTGGGTGCGCTGTTGACTTCTGTATCTTGCGATTGCGACCGAGGAAGGAACGCTCTCGGCCTCTGGGTTCTATAGCTTGAAGACAAGGCTACTAATTCTACGGAGTTCACAAGTCGTCGGACCCTGATTTGGTCACTGTGATTATATTCGTAAGAGTATAAGCACGCCGAATCGAGACCAAACTATATGGGCACAGGTACTCGAATGTGATATATGTCTTGATGGTAAACGTAGTTCGGCCGTCGGAATGCCGAACCCTGAAGCTTACTTGCGAGTATCCAATCATAAAACCACTCGACGTCCAATGCGCCGAGCAATGTAATTCGTAACACCCCACTACGCCGGAAAGGCTTAGTAAGATGACCTCTACCAACAAGGGCTCGAAAACCCTTCTCGGCCGAGACTTAGATAGATAATCGGTCGACCTCGACGCAGTGCTGTTTATCCAAACTGAAGGTGCTCCTCGGTCGGCTGATTCTGCGGCAGCAGTGCTGTTTATCCAAACTGAAGATGCTCGCCGGGTGCTTCCACAGTGTTGTTTATCCAAACTGAAGGTGTGTCGGTAGGGAAAAGAAAAGGAAAAAATCTCAAGGTGTTTGAGAGGTTTTGCGCAGGGCAATTGTATGCTGAGTTGTGAAGGTCATTTCTATTGCGTAATTTCTGGTATTTATAGCACCTCGTTCCCTGAAACCCATTTGGATTTGGATTGAGAGTCCTTGTCCCATTTTTCCTCTAGCTCGAACAATCCTACCCTTTCTGGGATTCTGAATTTTCCTCCTTTTGAGGCTTTATTTCTTGCTGGTTGAGAATCCTGGTCGCACCAGGACTTCCTCGACCTTTTCTACTCATCTGGACTTCTTAGGATAGGATTTGGCCGACCCTGCCAGCTGGCCCGGGTTTTATTATTCGGCCCATAGCATTTGTCATTACCTTGGGCCGAGCACATCTTGCTGCTATTATTTTGGGCCCAAACAGATATATAAGTTTGAATTCAACGAATAAGATATATAATTAACTGATACATGAAGGAGATCATATGGGATGAGATAGTTAAATTGTTCGAGTGAGAGGTTTTTGGGGCATCCAGCTTGTAGCTTTGGAGAATAGGTTTAGCATTGGAGCTCAGCTGGGTTTTGTCCTTTATCTTTCACTTTTACATGATATGATTATACAGAAAAAGTGGGTATATTTGTCAGCAAATTCTGTTTAATTGTTAAACTTGTAGTTTGCTACTTCAAACTTTTAAAACTGGGGAAGCCCATGCTTCCTCTCTGAAATAAGTTGCTTGATTCTGCTTGCTCTTTGAAATAAGTTGTTTGATTCTGCTTGCTCTCTAAAATAAACCTGCAGTTTGCTTCTTCATTTTTTTGTTTGTTGACTGACTGACCAATGCATATTTCTTTTAGTTGTCTCTTTTTGTTGACTTGGTGCCACTACCAAAGACATTTGCATTAAACAAGATGTGTGGTATGCAATTTTATATAATCAGTTTTAAAAGAAGTAGTTGAATGCATGATGATTTGGTGTTCAAATAATTCAGTATTTGGAACCGTAAACCGGCTAAAACCGAATCGGAACCGGTGTATACTGAATCGTACGGTTCTACTAATAAATATAAACAGAACTGCACCGAACCGAACCGTTGATATTTTCCTGTTCCGGTTCCGATTTAGGAATGAAACAACACCGAACTGCACTATGCCCACCCCTAGGTTTGAGGTTGTGAGTTATCGCCATAGCAGAGAAAGATGCGATCTTTGATGTGGGTTTGTGAGGAATTTGAGGGTGGAAGTGGAAAATACGGTTGAGATTAATTGGTGGATTCAAATTTTGATGGGTTCGTGCAGTTGTCCTGGACTTGTGGTTGGAAGGGAGAGATAAGGCACCAAAGCCATGTGAATAGAGGAAAGTATTGAATCACACAACCTCAAAACCCCATTTAGAAAGGGTATCCATATTTTTTCGTTTTAAAATTTCTTTTATTCTCATTCTTTATGTCTTTTTATTAAAATCGGCTTACAAATTGTCTATTTCTTTCACAACCCAATTTAAGTCTAGGGTTCCTGTTACCTTTCTCATGCCAAAACCTATTATTATTATTATTATTTAAACTCTTTGTCTGTCATTTTACAAATAGACAAACTTGTAATTAAAATTTTCATTAAAAAGTGAGTAAAGAGATAAGACATTGAGATGAAAATAATAATACTCTTACATGATGGACATTGGGTCAGTGATTAAATGAGGGACGCTGCTTGGGAGCAATGACTCTTTCAACTGCCAAGACAATTTGACATTTACCAAAATAGGGTAATGCTAGGGAGACTAAATTTGTGGATAAAATTTGCAATCTAAATGATGTGTCACCGACAAGAATGAGCACGTTTATCAACGCTTAAGTCATAATCCGATCATCAATTTATGTGCCATTTGATTTAAAAAAATTTATCTACAAATTTAGTCTCCCTAGTATTCCCCACCAAAATATCTTACTAAAACTATAAAATGAAAAATTTATGTACACATGTCATAAAAGAGAAATGATTTTTCATCTTGAAAATGATGTCAAATACGCCAAAGAAAACTTAAAAACATCAAGGCAGGGGTGAAGCTAGAGAGGTGAACTCCACACTCGAGTTCAACGTGTTCCGGTCACCAAAACTCGCATGCAAGACCACTTCAGCGATCCCCACAACACACAGAAAAAGGATAACGTGGCTTAAGACCACGATTTGGTTGAGATTGGTTCTCGATGGAAATAAGAGGAAGAGAGAGTTGCAGAGGGAGTCGAGCAAGAAAATGGAGAATGAGAGAGAGTGAGACCGAGAGTTAGTCGAGCCCACTCCCAAATTTTCCCCCATGGAAAATTATCATTTTGCGCTACTTAAAAATAACAACTCAACCGCCGTAACTTGGAATTCGATTCTGCTTTCACCCACACTCGTGAGTACGAAAACTAATTTAGTAAAATAAGAAGACATGAGAAATTGAATTTAAACTCAGAGCTCCATATTTATTCAAGACCCCCTCACTAGGGGCATTATGGACATTTCACAATAAAATACATTAATTTTAGGTACGGACTATAACAGCCACTTTGTACTATAGTTTAGTGGCATTCTTCTTTACTTGTAAATGGGAGATCTTAGATTCGATTCTCGCTAAAAACGAATTTGAACGACATTGTTGCTAGCCCATTATGAGGCTAAACCCATCCCCCCTCCCCCTAATTAATGTAGATAATATCGTTTGTTCAAAAAAAAAACAAAAAAAGATTTGGCTGTCTAAATTGTTTTTTGGACCGTTTACCCTTTAAAATTCCGCCCCTCTTATCAACAATTCTTGACTTCGCCACTAAGTGGGAACCTCGAATCTGGGTGAGAGGGTCAGGGTGCTTGAGTTCCACTATAACACTAGCCCTCCTTGAATTCATTTTATATCAGTTCAGACTTTTTGTAGAATAACATGCACGTACTTTTGGTCAGTGAGTTTTGTTTCGATTTTAATTTTTGTCGCGGTAGTTTTATTTTTTTCAATTTGGTCATCGTACAAGATTTTGTTTGGGAAGCAAGTTGAATTGCTAACTTCCATGTATATCACCGCACTCCAAGTACGTAATAGACGAAAGTCAGCAAATGGACACACCAAAAGGAATATGGTTTAAAGTGAAAAACAGGGTCATTGCTTTTGTTCTTAAAAAAAAAAAAAATATAGCATTAGACTATCACCAAGTGTCTTTTTAGCGTAATGATGTTTGAGACAGACAAAAGTCATAAAGCATAATTAAGGTAGCACATAATCTCATTAGGGACGCAGACATGGCAATATGCTTAACCTTCCAAGTCTCCAAACAATAAAAACAGTTTGACAGTTTAGATCGGTAGAAACCAACAGCAGCAAGCTTCATTAATTAAGTTCTAAATGATCTTGATGACGACCTCATTCCTTCTCCCTACAAATCAAAAGAATTATTCTAACGTTGGCTGCCCCGTCAAGGTTTTACCGAGGCCAAGCCGCCCCTGTGCGCCCTATCATCTTTATACCAATTCTTATAATATCGTATTTTTATCAAGTTACACGCTTCACTTTGGATTCTGACCAGAAGCATATCATCTTCTCTTTTGATTCAATGTTATTTCTTCACATAACCTGGAAAATGGCATATACGATAAGAAATCGGAAAACCTATTGACGGTCTTTTCAGTCCTTAATTACATCCAGTTTTAAGTTCTTTTTATTCTTTAATTTTCTGCCCAAAGAATATGCCAAAGTGTCAACATAAATATCATGCTATTTAAAGCAAGAAAACGTTGTGCATGCTGGAAACCCTAAACCATGCATCAAGTTATTTATTAGACTAAATTCAATAATCCACATTGACAGTTTATCACCAAAACAACGATCCTGTCAACCGTCTATTTTTATGTCTAAAACTTTGAACGTACCTCCAGATTTTGTGGGTGTGCATGTAAATAATGAGAAGACCACCGCAATTTTCGGTGCTAAAACAACGCCAGGACGTCGTCTTTTTTCCACCATTCAATCACATGTCAACACCATATAACAGCTTCCCTCCACCACTCTACCCCTCATCTTTATAAACAGCCTTGGGCCAAGCCAAGATAGCACACTTCAGCCATGGCTCCACCTCTCCTCTCGTCTACGGTCACAGGGTGCTGCTTTCTTCTCCTCTCCTTCCTCATCTCTTCGTTTCCCGCTCTCTCCTTTGCCCTAACCGATGCTGAAGCTGCTCACATAGCCCACCGCCAGCTCATTTCTCTCCCGGAGAATGGTGACCTCCCTGACAACTACGAGGTTCAAGTCGACGTCAAACTAAAGTTTGAAAATGATAGGCTCAAGAGGGCTTATGTCGCTCTCCAGGCACAAAAGAGCGCTATTTTTTCCGACCCTTTTAAATTCACTGCCAACTGGGAAGGGGAGAATGTGTGCGCCTACAAAGGGGTGTTCTGCGCTCCAGCACTCGATGACTCGAGCTTGAATGTGGTGGCCGGCATAGACCTTAACCATGCAGACATTGCAGGACATCTCGTTGTCGAAATGGGGCTCCTTACTGACCTTGCACTCTTCCACATCAACTCCAATAGGTTCTGTGGCATCATCCCAGAGAGCTTCAGGAGGCTGACGCTCATGTATGAGTTCGACATCAGCAACAACCGATTCGTTGGTCGTTTTCCTGGAGTCGTCCTTCACTGGCCTAATTGCAAGTACCTTGACCTCAGGTTCAATGGCTTCGAAGGCGAGCTTCCTCCAGAGCTTTTCTTCAAGGAGTTTGATGCCATTTTCTTGAACCACAACCGATTCACGTCGGTGATTCCAGAGACGATTGGAAACTCCAAGGTTTCTGTTGTGTCATTTGCATTTAACAACTTCAGTGGTTGCATTCCGCACAGCGTTGGAAACATGCACAACGTGAATGAGCTAATCTTCATGAACAACCAGCTTGGTGGGTGCTTCCCTCCTGAGATTGGAAACCTAGGAAACTTGCAGGTTTTTGATGTGTGCTACAATGGATTTATAGGTTCTTTGCCAAAAAGCTTTGTCGGGCTGCAGAGCATTGAGGAATTGGATATTGGGTACAACAGGTTGACAGGGTTTGTGACTGATAAGATTTGCACGTTGCCTAAGTTGGCAAATTTCACATTTGCTTACAACTATTTTAGTGGCGAGGCTCAAAACTGTATGCCAAATCCTAAATCGAAAATAGTGTTGGATGACTCAGGCAATTGTATGCCAGGAAGGCCCAAGCAAAAGAACACAAAGACATGTTTCCCTGTGGTAACTAAGCCTGTGGATTGCAGCAAGAATTGTGGTGGTTCTTCTACACCAGAGAAACCTAAGACATCAAAGCCTCCAACGCCAAAGGTTAGTCCACCACCGACACCAAAGGCAGAGCCGCCACCCACACCGAAGGCCGAGCCCCCACCATCAACACCAAAGACTAAGCCGCCACCTTCCACACCAAAGGCCGAGCCACCACCCACTCCTAATGTTGAGCTACCACCAACTCCAAAGGCAGAGCCACCATCCATGCCAAAGGTTGAGCCACCACCCACTCCAAAGGCAGAGCCGCCTCCCACCCCTAAGGTTGAGCCACCACCCACCCCTAAGGCTGAGCCACCACCTACACCAAAGGTTGAACCACCTATGACGCCAAAGGCTGAGCCACCTCCTACGCCAAAGGCTGAGCCACCACCTGAGCCAAAAGCCGAGCCACCTCTTACACCTAAAGCTGAGCTACCTCCTGCACCTAAAGTTGAGCCACCTCCCGCACCTACAGCGGAGCCACCTCCAGCAGCTAAGTCGGAACCTCCTCAAACACCAAAAGTTGAGCCACCGCCAATGCCAAAGGTTGAGCCACCCCAAACACTAGAGGCTGAGCCACCCCAAACACCTGAGATTGTGCCACCCCAAGCACCTGAGGTTGAGCCACCTCCTGCACCAAAGGTTGGGCCACCTCCAACACCAAAGGTCGAGCAACCACCAACTCCTAAAGCTGAGCTACCTCCAACACCGGAGGTGGAGCCTCCTAAAGCACCAGAGGTTGAGCCACCAATACTCGCACCTGCACCAAGCCCGATTGGCCGTAGCCCTAAAGGTCCTCCATTGTATCCAGTTCAACCACCAGTAACGCCAGAGCCTGTACAATCTCCTCCATCACTATCTCCAACACCAGAACCATCTCCAGAGCCTGTGCAGTCACCACCGCCACCTGTCCAATCCCCTCCACCTCCAATTCAGTCTCCACCACCGCCTGTCCAGTCTCCATCACCACCACCAATTCAATCTCCACCACCGCCTGTTGAATCACCCCCACCACCAGTGGAATCCCCCCCACCACCAGTTGAATCCCCACCACCGCCAATCGAATCCCCACCACCGCCAGTCGAATCCCCGCCACCACCGGTTGAATCCCCACCGCCGCCAGTTGAATCCCCACCGCCGCCGGTTGAATCCCCACCACCACCAGTCGAATCTCCCCCGCCGCCGATCCAATCCCCACCACCGCCGGTCCAATCCCCACCACCGCCAGTTGAATCCCCACCACCACCAATCGAATCTCCCCCGCCGCCGATCCAATCCCCACCACCGCCGGTCCAATCCCCACCACCGCCAGTTGAATCCCCACCACCACCAGTTGAATCCCCACCACCGCCAATCGAATCACCTCCTCCCCCAGCTCCAACTCCATCTCCTCCTTTGCCTCCTCCTGTGGAGTCTCCACCACCAACCCAACCAGACTTTGTGCTACCACCAAACATTGGAGCACTATACTCATCGCCACCACCACCAATGTTCCCAGGCTATTGAGTAGTAGTTTATCATTTCACATGTTTGCCTCATTTTGTATTTTCTTCTCTAGTTACAAAACACCTTCTACACGTTCACTTGTAACTTGAGAATCTTACCAAATACAGTGAGATTTACAATTTCAATACCTTCCATGCAACTTGATTGGTTCTCTCTTTTTCTAATGTAACTTTATACTTAATATGTGTTAACTCATCGAGGATATATTGCTAAAGAAATAAAACAGAAAAATGAGAAAACATGATTGAAAGTTGTGGTTGATCATGAACAAAATTAATGTTTGCATTGTCAATAAAGGCTTGTTTGGGAAGTTTGTATATATGCAAGTCAGTTTTGCTTATAAGTTCTTTCATTTACTAAGCACATCATCATTTATTTTTGAAATTCAAGTGCTTTATGAAAATGCACTTCCTAAGAAAGCACATATAGTTTTACAAAATTTCACTTAAAACTGCAAAATTCAAACAATATGTTTAACTATATTTTTCAAAACATTATCAAACATGCTTTTAGTTATTTGAATAGAAATGTCACACCTTTACAAACATTAAAATTGTTGATCTAAACGAGACATGAAATTGCTTATGATTCTATTTAAAATTTGGGTTTTGGGGAAGGGGGGGTGTTGCTGTTGTGGGATAAAGAGCAAGAGTAAAGTGGGATTTCAAGGAAAATAGATCGATCCGTTAAACATAGTGTGAGGGTGGAGGTAGAAAGGAGATGAGGATGTAAGCAAATTGAAGTACAAGTTCGACATTTTTACAAGTTGAAAATATTATATTCATTAAATGCTAAAAAACACAATAGGAGTTGTAGAAGTATCAATACAATCAATTTCCCATACACTTACCCCTAAAACTGAGGATTCGGGCAAACATAGAAAAGAGGTACAAATGTGTATAGGGATAGGCACAATTCAGTTTTATCGGCTTTACTCCAACTCACAATCAAAATTGGTTCAAATTTGACAAAAATAGGTAAGAAAACAACTGTATGGTCCGGTGGTTTAGGCCTAAACCTAATTACCTTTTCTTTTACATTTCTTTCAACTTCCTCAGTCCAATTACAACAACAAAAAAGTGTATATAATTTACTACACATTTCCAACATGTCATCAAACTTCATTGCCAATTCATTTAGTTATGGATTTCACATTTCCAACATGTCATCAAACTTCACTGCCAATTCATTTAGTTATGGATTTCTATGAGAAGTGGACATTTATCTTTCTTTCTATCTGACCATCTAACATCTGAGTATTGGGATCAAGGCAACATTTTCAAATTTATTAAAGTAGTTTAATAACTAATATAATTATGATTTAAGGATCAGTAACTTCATAGTTTTGTTAAACTTCAAATTCAACATTCTTCTCTCGTTATTAGTCAATAAGAAGACTATGTGGCCTCGTTTGACACCTTGGACTGTACTGACTATTTTAGTTGTATAGGTGTTTGGACCCAATTAACAATTTTGGGACGAGAGAAGTTATAGGCTCGGCCCACAGGAAAAGCCAATGGTGCCTTGGGATATTCCCAAGGAAAGCCTAGCCCAATGAGGATAGGACGTGTCCTACCAGGAGTTGTTCTGTCTTACCAGGAGTTATTCTCATCAAACTTGGATAGGATTTTGGCCAAGTCTTGATACTATAAGGAGTCTTCAGATATCAGTGATGCCTTGACTCAAGGAGCATATGCTGAGGATCAAGGATTAAAACTTGATGATAATAAGGCTGGATTCAAAGTCCTAAATACACTAGGATTGGCCAAAGCCCATTCAGAATGGATGAAGGAGAAATTGAAGAATTATAATCCGAGTAGGATTCTACTTCAGCTATGTGGGGAATTATTACTATAAATAGAGAAGGGAATGAATCATTCAAAGCTCCTTCTAACATACAAACAAATATGCCCTGCGTAAACCCTCTCATTCTTGAGAAAACATTCACCTTTCTAACTTCATCAAGCACACCTTTAGTTAGTCTTAACAATACTATGGTTAACAATCGACAACACCTTTAGTTAGTCTTAACAATACTGGAGCCGTAGAATCTGGCGACTGAGGAGCATCTTCAGTTAGTCTTAATAGCACTGCTTCGAGATTGACTGATTATTTATCCAAGTCTCGGCCAGTAGGGAGTTTTTGAGTCCTTATGGGAAATGTCACTTCATTAGCCTTCTCGACGAAGTGAGGTGTTATCAGGTTACATCGCTCAACACATCAAAAGCCGAGTTTATTTTATGAGTGGATATTCATAAGTACATTTCAGAGTTCGGCATTCTGATGACCGAACCACATTTACAATCAAGACGCTTATCTCTTTTCAGTATTTATGTCCATACAATTTGATAGCGATTCAGTGCACTTATATTTGCACAAATATAATCACAATGGCCGAGCCCGGTGCCGATGATTCTTAAACTTCAAAGAAACTAGCAGCCTTATCTTCAAGCTCTGGAACCTAGAGGTTGAGACGAATTCCTTCCTTGGCCGCGATCATAAGACAAAAATCAGCAGCACGTTCAACACCACTATCACCACATTCATTCACTTACCGATCAAGCTCGGTTGTCAAGTTGGCACGCCCCGCGTTCAATCGAAGGACATAGTTAACTCATTAGCTATTCAGCCTACATGTCATGTAGGCTTGGTAGGTTTTAGGGTCAACATTTTGGCATGCCCAGTGGGACGTTCATCCAAAATCTATGAATAAACTAAGTTTGTGAAGGTGAGTCTCCGAAAAAATCCAGAACCTTTGTTCTGATGCATTTCCATTCCATTTCGGTATGTGTAATTCTAGGATTTTACTTGGTTAAAATTGTGAAATTGGACTTTAGATATATAGGTGCAAAACTTGTGATAAATTCTGTTGTAGTTTTGTAGATTTGTAACAGGTAGACATAGAAGTGTAATTTGATGGGGGAATGAATAGAAACAAACGAAAATATGGTGCAAATAGAGGATGTAGATACAGGGGCTTAATCTGGTGCAGGGAAGGTTGAATAGTTTTTCTAACGATTAATGATAAGTTGAAACAGAACTTAAAAATGGAGTTTGAGCCGTTGGATAAAGAGTATGCTTTTTACAACAATTATGCACTTACAGTGGGGTTTGGGATTCGGGAGCATAGTAGTCCAGTGATGGTGAATGTTGGTTAAGGAAATAATTTGTTTATTGCAAATAAGAAGAAGATGGTGGATGCTAATCCTAGACCTAAAAAGAAAGGTAAGATGGGAGATGCTAGAACTAAGTGTAAGGCAAAACTTGCGCTGAATAAAGGAATTGGTTGTGAAACATTTGTTGTAATAGTTTTCAATGAAGGACATAACTACCCTATGTCAATTGCATCATACTTATTTAGATGACATTGTTGAGTTTCAGAGTCAAAGAAGATGATGATTGAACAATGTGTGTAGGCCAATATTTTAATAAGTAAACATGTGGGTTTACTAGAGGTGCAAAGTGGAGGAATTAAAAATATTAGTTGCACCTCCAAGGGGATGTATAACGCCGAACATCAATTGCAAGCTCATCAAATCGGGCATGATGCGGAAATGTTGAAAGAGCATTTTAAGATGAGCAAGAGAAAAAGATTCATTTCATTTCAAGATGGAGATTGACAAAGGTGGAACACTAGGGAATTTCTTTTGGGCAGATGCTAAGTCACGACATGCTTACGACCATTTTGGTGATGTGATTGTGCTTGACACTACTTTCAATACCAATGTATACGGGATAATGTTTCCTCATTTGTTAGAATTTAATAACCACGGTCAAACCATTGTATTGGGTTGTGCATTCATAAAAAATGAAAAAATCGAGAGCTTTGAGTGGTTATTTGAAGAAATGCTTAAAACAATGACGGGTGAGCCACCAAAAGTCATAATTATGAATCAAGATGAAGCCATAGCAAAGGTTATTGGCAGCAAAGTACCAACCACCTTTCATTAGTACTGCATATGACACATGATTAACAAGTTCAATGGTTGGGTTTTCAAGGATTTGCATGATTACATATGGGATATTGAAAGCAAAGAAGAATGTGAGGTAAGGTGGAAGGTGTTGGCAGAAGAACATGAGTTGGTTGATAAAACGAGGCTTAAGGACATTTATGAGTTGCATGCAAATTGGGTTCCGGCATTTTGCAGGCACGCTTTTTTAGCCAGAATGTCAAATAGTCAAAGTGCTGAGAGTTGTCATTCCTTTTTTAAGCAATATGTGCATAAAAAGCACTATTTGATTGAATTCATCATTAGATTTAATCAAGTCCTTAGACAACAACGTCAAATAGAGGTGGTTGGTGACCATAATGATGAAAATCGTACCCCTCTATTGCAGCTTTGCACCCTAGTGGAAGCTCAAATGGCCAAATGGTACACACGATTTATGTTTGAAAAGTTTCAAGTGAAGGAATTGAAGGGTTTGACTTGTTTCTTAAGGGAGCAGTTTAGGGATGGGAATGAGGTACTGTATGAAGTACATGAGAGAGTTGCGGGGGTGACAAAGATGAAGACTTTATTATACACATCGAAATTTCGGTGAAATAAATGATGACCAATGTATTAAAATTTCAACGTTCATGTGTCATGTAAATTTTACACGTAACGTGTGACTCAACGAAAAATAAAAAAAAAATCAAAACAATCATCAAATAGGACACGTGTCAACACCTGGCATAAATGAATTATTTCATCTGAATATTATATTCAAAATTAGGCCTTGAAAATTTCTATAAATACAAGGCCATTTCATCCATTTCAAAAGACCAATTCACATATACATTTCTCTACTTCCAAATTGGAAGAGAATTCCCCAAATCCTTGAAGCTATGAAACTCTAACACTATGTTTGGGTGAAGAAATTTAAGATTACTAAGGAATTTAAAAATGACGGAAATTGAAATGACGAGATTTTATTTTCTAGAATTTGTAAATTTTCTTGTTTGGTTAACCTAAAAGAACAATGGAATTGAATACAGAATTTGTTATTTTTAAACTCTCAATCATAGAAATTGAGAAATGACACCTATTTACATGGAATTTGAACTTGGGATTTAGAGGTCCCAAATTCCAAGTTTTTTTTCCATGCGGAAATTCTAAATTTCTATGCTTATGAATCCAAACAAGAGAATTGGTGCCTGTTAATTTATAAATTCTGACTTTTACCAAAATTCCATAGCTTCAAGGATTTGGGGAGTTCTCAAGAATCCCCGAAGGATCAAGAAAGCTCTCTTCGTTCTTCATCAAATCCTTGAAG